ACAGCTCTGCGTCTTGTTAGAATGCTCTGCGCGCTACTATACAGCTACACATGTTAGAATGTTCTGCATGCTACTATACAGCTACACATGTTGTTAGAATGTTCTGCATGCTACTATACAGCTACACATGTTAGAATGTTCTGCATGCTACTATACAGCTACACATGTTAGAATGCTCTGCATGCTACTATACAGCTACACATGTTAGAATGCTCTGCATGCTACTATACAGCTACACATGTTGTTAGAATGCTCTGCGTGCTACTATACGGCTACACATATTGTTAGAATGCTCTGTGTGATACTTTACACCGCCACATGTTGTTAGAATGCTCTGCGTGCTACTATACAGCTCTGCATGTTAGAATGCTCTGGGTGATACTACACAGCGCCACATGTTGTTAGAATGCTCTGCATGCTACTATACAGCTCTGCGTGTTGTTAGAATGCTCTGTGTGATACTATACGGCTACACATATTGTTAGAATGCTCTGTATGCTACTATACAGCTACACATGTTGTTAGAATGCTCTGCATGCTACTATATGGCTACACATGTTAGAATGCTCTGCATGCTACTATACAGCTACGCATGTTAAAATGCTCTGCATGCTACTATACAGCTACACATAATGTTAGAATGCTCTGCATGCTACTATACAGCTCTGCGTGTTGTTAGAATGCTCTGCGTGATACTATACGGCTACACATGTTGTTAGAATGCACTGTGTGATACTATACGGCTACACATATTGTTAGAATGCTCTGTATGCTACTATACTGCTACACATGTTAGAATGCTCTGCATGCTACTATACAGCTACGCATGTTAAAATGCTCTGCATGCTACTATACAGCTACACATGTTGTTAAAATGCTCTGCATGCTACTATACAGCTACACATGTTGTTAGAATGCTCTGCGTGATACTATACGGCTACACATATTGGTAGAATGCTCTGTATGCTACTATACGGCTACACATGTTAGAATGCTCTGCATGCTACTATACAGCTACGCATGTTAAAATGCTCTGCATGCTACTATACAGCTACACATGTTGTTAAAATGCTCTGCATGCTACTATACAGCTACACATGTTGTTAGAATGCTCTGCATGCTACTATACAGCTACACATGTTGTTAGAATGCTCTGCATGCTACTATACAGCTACACATGTTGTTAGAATGCTCTGCATGCTACTATATGGCTACACATGTTAGAATGCTCTGCATGCTACTATACAGCTACGCATGTTAAAATGCTCTGCATGCTACTATACAGCTACACATAATGTTAGAATGCTCTGCATGCTACTATACAGCTACACATGTTGTTAAAATGCTCTGCGTGCTACTATACGGCTACACATATTGTTAGAATGCTCTGTGTGATACTTTACACCGCCACATGTTGTTAGAATGCTCTGCGTAATACAATACAGCTCTGCATGTTAGAATGCTCTGGGTGATACTACACAGCGCCACATGTTGTTAGAATGCTCTGCATGCTACTATACAGCTCTGCGTGTTGTTAGAATGCACTGTGTGATACTATACGGCTACACATATTGTTAGAATGCTCTGTATGCTGCTATATGGCTACACATGTTAGAATGCTCTGCATGCTACTATACAGCTACGCATGTTAAAATGCTCGGCATGCTACTATACAGCTACACATAATGTTAGAATGCTCTGCATGCTACTATACAGCTACACATGTTGTTAGAATGCTCTGCGTGCTACTATACAGCTCTGCATGTTAGAATGCTCTGGGTGATACTACACAGCGCCACATGTTGTTAGAATGCTCTGCATGCTACTATACAGCTCTGCTTGTTGTTAGAATGCAATGTGTGATACTTTACGGCTACATATGTTGTTAGAATGCTCTGCGTGATACTATACGGCTACACATGTTGTTAGAATGCTCTGCGTGATACTATACAGCTACACATATTGTTAGAATGCTCTGCATGCTACTATATGGCTACACATGTTAGAATGCTCTGCATGCTACTATACAGCTACACATAATGTTAGAATGCTCTGCATGCTACTATACAGCTACACATAATGTTAGAATGCTCTGCATGCTACTATACAGCTACACATGTTGTTAAAATGCTCTGCATGCTACTATATGGCTACACATGTTAGAATGTTCTGCATGCTACTATACAGCTACACATAATGTTAGAATGCTCTGCATGCTACTATACAGCTACACATAATGTTAGAATGCTCTGCATGCTACTATACAGCTACACATGTTGTTAAAATGCTCTGCATGCTACTATATGGCTACACATGTTAGAATGTTCTGCATGCTACTATACAGCTACACATAATGTTAGAATGCTCTGCATGCTACTATACAGCTACACATAATGTTAGAATGCTCTGCATGCTACTATACAGCTACACATGTTGTTAAAATGCTCTGCGTGCTACTATACGGCTACACATATTGTTAGAATGCTCTGTGTGATACTTTACACCGCCACATGTTGTTAGAATGCTCTGCATGCTACTATACAGCTCTGCATGTTAGAATGCTCTGGGTGATACTACACAGCGCCACATGTTGTTAGAATGCTCTGCATGCTACTATACAGCTCTGCGTGTTGTTAGAATGCTCTGCGTGATACTATACGGCTACACATGTTGTTAGAATGCTCTGCGTGATACTATACGGCTACACATATTGTTAGAATGCTCTGTATGCTACTATACAGCTACACATATTGTTAGAATGCTCTGCATGCTACTATATGGCTACACATGTTAGAATTCTCTGCATGCTACTATACAGCTACGCATGTTAAAATGCTCTGCATGCTACTATACAGCTACACATAATGTTAGAATGCTCTGCATGCTACTATACAGCTACACATGTTGTTAAAATGCTCTGCGTGCTACTATACGGCTACACATATTGTTAGAATGCTCTGTGTGATACTTTACACCGCCACATGTTGTTAGAATGCTCTGCGTGCTACTATACAGCTCCGCATGTTAGAATGCTCTGGGTGATACTACACAGCGCCACATGTTGTTAGAATGCTCTGCATGCTACTATACAGCTCTGCATGTTGTTAGAATGCTCTGCGTGATACTATACGGCTACACATGTTGTTAGAATGCACTGCGTGATACTATACGGCTACACATGTTGTTAGAATGCTCTGCGTGATACTATACGGCTATACATGTTGTTAGAATGCTCTGCGTGATACTATACGGCTACACATGTTGTTAGAATGCTCTGCGTGATACTATACGGCTACACATGTTGTTAGAATGCTCTGCGTGATACTATACGGCTACACATATTGTTAGAATGCTCTGTATGCTACTATACAGCTACACATGTCAGAATGCTCTGCGTGATCCTATACAGCTACACATGTTGTTCGAATGCTCTGCGTGATCCTATACAGCTACACATGTCTTTGATTTAATATTTTTTGTATGAGCTTTTCAAATGATTTTCTATTTGGGGGGGAATTAAATTTATGAAAATTTTGTAAATATAGATTTTTTTATATTTACTGATTTTTTCTTTTTCGTAT